AGGAGCAGAAACTTTCCTGCATCTTTCTTGATTAATACTTGATCTGCTGACTTGTGACCCAAAACATTTGAATCATGTAAAGCATGTTGCATTGTTTCTCTTTAACATTCTCTGTGTTTGTCGTGTTACATAAACCTCTTGGCACAGCTGCTGCTGGAAGAACAGGATTTTCTCAATGTGTTATCTTTCTTAAAAAAATCCTGCCCTATTTATTTGTTTTTTGGTTTAGTTTGCCTGAATATATTTCCTCCTCTTGGATTCGAGGATAAAGCCAGTGAAGCAAAATAATGAAATCCTCCAAAAATAGACCATGACCTTGACCTACTTGAGCTGGAGCAGTGGCACTGGCAGGCATCAGGCCGTGGCAGCGGCGGCTGACTGTCGGGACTGGTGTATTGTTACAGATGGAAGTCCGCTGTCCTGGTGGCTGGACCGCGAAGGAGAAAGGAGGAGTTACTGGGGAGGCTTCCTGCCCGGGGTCCAGCAGTGCTCCTGCAGCCTGGAGGAGAACTGCATCGACATGAACTTCTTCTGCAACTGTGACGCCGATTCAGACGCATGGTACGTGACGCTTCTAACCCGGAATGGAGATTTGTTCTCCTTCCTTTTTTTTTTTTCTACCATATTTATATCAAAAGAGGTGTTCCCATCATTTTGTCCACCCTCCACTTATATCAGCATATAAATAACAGAGGCAGCACAGTACGATTCAAGAGCACCATAAACTACAGCCTAACGAGCATCATAAAGTTGAATCAGCACCTCTCCAACACAGGCTCAACACAAACTGAAAATTACAACCTTCACCAAAGAGGATTTACTGTTGGACCATTGTATTAGACTGCTTCAGTGTTCCTAATAAACTGAATGTAAATCTAATTCACACTTATCTTAATATTAGGTCCTAATTGTGAATTAACACAGTTGAATAAAGTAAAAAAGACTTGAGACTTATCGTCAAAAGCTCTTGAATCTCGCCGCCGCCGGTCTTTGTGTACGTGACAGTTTCCTGCTGTGTCGTCACGTGGACCTTTTCTGGATAATTAAACCAGGGGGCCGCGGGAAATGTTCTGGAAAATGTCCGGAGAATTGTAATCAATGATAAAATAATCCTAAAAAGAAAAATAACGATATGAGCGACTCAGGAAAAAGTCTAGAAATGTCTGAATGCAGCTTAAAAAAAGGATTAATTCCGAAATTGTTCTCGTCTTTTTTTTGTTGTTTTTACAACATAGAGTAAATATTTCTAAAAGATTAAAACCACTCACAGGTCCCCAGGAGCCGCTCACACTCGGTGTAGTGTTTTCCTCCTGCACCTATCTGCGTCCTCAGAGAGCTCACACTGTTTCCCTCAGAATTAAATAAATGTTTATTCATGTGATTCTCCTCATTCCGATGTTTAGAGCTCATTTTCTGTTTTGGGAATGTGTGAGAACAGTTTCACAGACCGGTGTCTTATTAATTACAGCTCGCACGTAATATTACAATTACGATCAAGCTAATCATAATTTCTAAAGGGGCTGAATGGAGAAACAAAGGCTGCATTAGAGTTTGTGGTTTATTAGACGCCCTGGATGTCTTTGCATTCTGTGTGTTAATCCACTCCAAAGCTTCTCCGGATTCGGCTCAGTTTGCATATTTCCAGCGGCAGTTGTCTGCATTGTGATAGATTGCTCCCATTTTAATGTGTTTACTCTGCGTTCTGTGCTAATGCAGAGGAATGGATGCCTCTATCTGGACCCCCATAAAGGCATCCAGCCCTCCAGGGCTCTGCACAGCTATTTATTTGTTCCTCTCTTTTTTTTTGTCTGTCACAGGGCTAATGACACGGGAATCCTCTCCTATAAAGACCACCTACCAGTCAGCCAGATAGTAATCGGAGACACCAACAGAACAGGCTCGAAAGCCATCTACCACATCGGCCCTCTGCGTTGTTATGGAGACAGTAGGTGATCACCTCAGTGTTGACGCTGCTGTGCTAGATTTGGTTGCAGATGGAGGCTTAGGGCCGAACACAGACAAACCACGTTCAGATGACGTCTTTATGCCTTTTCTCTATTTACCCACGAGCAGAGAGTTAAACCTCATCTGTTGTTTTCAGTCATCAGCGGGTCTGTCTGTCTGTCTCGGAGGAGGGGGTTGGGGGGGAGAGATGGTCGATATTTATTGCTCCGTGTCCCACGGTGAGCCGCGGACACGGGGCGGGGAATTCTTAGTTGCTCATCTGCAGTCAAATGTAGTTCAAACCCCAGGACTCTACTTTAAATTCAAGTGGAGATAACTTAACGACTTCATGTGTGTCAGGCTGAATAATGGATGAAATACACTGTGTGAAATTATAGAGAAGACATCCACGTCATTTCCAGCAACAACTTCTGGAATGTTTTTCTTCCCTCAGCCTGGCCACTGAAACATATTTACACATTATGAGACTTTTTCGTGCATAATCTGAACTATTATGTTAGAAATTGGTGGATGATTGAAAAGAAAATGAAAGAAAATGTTTAGTAAACGCATGATAAACAAATTGTGCTGAGGTATCAGTGGTGTTTCTAGTGATGCTGCAGAACCAAAGTCTGCGTCATTGCCTTGAAATCGTCCTTGGTTCCTTTAATAAGAGATTTTCAAACAGTAATTTTAAAAGTCATCATATTAGAAACGAAGACAGAAGAAACAGAACTGGCTTCTGGGTCAAATAATTAAAACCGACAACCTGGGTTTGGTTTTCTCTCTGGTACCAAAATAAAAAGCTGTGTTTGCCCTCCTGTTTATCATAGACTGTGTGAAGCCAAATCACCTGGATCGCCCCCTGGTGGCCGGCTGTAGGTTATAAACCCTGCCTCCTCCATGTTAGCAAATGGGAGATGGATCCAAATGAGATAATCAAACATGTTTCATGTTTCTGATAAATAATTCGTTATCTGATGATATAAAAACAGGGTGTCATGTCATGATTGACAGCTGAGACAATTGGTTGAGCGTGTGCAGGACTTTGATATCGAGCCTCGAGCTGCTCACCTGTTTCCTTTGTGGCTGAGCTGCAGCTAAAGCAGCTGACGATGAGTGAGGATAAGTTGGTGACCAATTAGTGAAGTTAATTTTGGCTTCATAATTGGGAGAAAGTGCAGACACGTCCACCTTTATTATAGTCTATGATTTATATGCTAATTCTGGACACATTTTCAATTAATATAAATCTGACACCATAACGAACCTTTAAAAAACAGCACAGTGGATTTTCAAGGAAATGTCACAACAACTGTGCGACTGTGTTTGAACTCAGCTTTTTATTCTGCACCTGCAGAAACTCTAAGAGTTTCCAGGCAGCGTCGCAGCGACTCTCACACCTTTTGTTTGGATCACGTCAGGAGCTTCTTCTTTTCATTTTCCATTTTTTTTCATTCAACTCCTGAACTCGTGTCGAGATCTTTGACAGGACACGAGCCCTGAGCATCAGAGCCTGCAGCTCACCTGTCTGCGTGTCAGCGGCTGCTCCCGGGATTCTTCACGATAAAATGACGCCTGGCATTAACGCACAAATCAGTTTGACAAGCTGTGGCTGATTGACCTCGTAATTCATGTCCACGTCTTAATGACCGACTTGCATGAAGAACTACAGGGAGGCACTGAGTGGTAAATATTTCTCCCACTGGTTTCAAAGAAGATAAATGTTTGGATTGATTCCAGAACATGTTTTTTAAACTGAGCTCAGTTGTGTATTCACTCTGGGAGGACGAGTGGCCCCCGTATGTTTCACACGTTCGCAGAAAAACCCACAAACATGGCATTCTTGCGTAGATCAAATGGGAAACACTACGCAGAATCAAAATGGCAAGATCGTTTTTAGATTGGTCAAATATTGGTGGAGACAAATTGGCAACGCGCCGGTTCAGAATGATTAAAACCAGAATCTATTTCGATGCTTTCCTGACAATGGAGGTCCTCCAGTTCCACGTGTAACAGCTGTGCTTCAGTGTGGAGACAGATGGACGGGTGGACAAAGTGTGAGAATGTTAAACACCAGAGATCACAGCTTTCTATCAACATGAGAGGAATCGGTGGCAGATCTGATTTCAGAGCAATCCCGTCTCTTTTGCATTTCATTACGACCTCCGCCAAGAGGGGTTGTGTGTTCGCCTCTGTCCGTGAAGCTCGGTGGAAGAAAGAAGTCGATAAATGTTTGTTTGGTTCCAGAGAAAGAAGCAGATCCAGGAATTGGTTTTTATCTTTCGTGTTTTTTGTTTTTTTCGACAATTTCTCAGGGAATCATTTGTGGATCTTGATGGAAAAAAAACAAATCAGGCACATTTAGGAAACTGATATTCATGAGTGTGGTTTGATTGACTTCGTTGTCATCTAGTCTCGGTTTCGCACGACCCGAGGAAGAACCCAATAAATATTAGATCAGATCCACGGTAAGGGGCATACCCAAGAATTTCTTTATCTGAAATACAGATAGCCTTATTGCAGTTTGACATAACTGCAGACTTCACTAATTGGAAAAATGAAGTCTGTCCTGAGGTGGTTTCTAGTCTCTGACTCTGGGAAAGTAGGGAAGCTGTAATTACTCCACTTCTTTTACCAAACCACACTCAGGCTCCTCTGAATGAGCGGAACCTGGAATTTCTTCACTTCAACATTGCGAGATGATGTTGTCGGACTTCAGGGGACTGATATCTATGAGTGTGTGCTCTACTGAATGACGTTCTGATTGCAATTAGACGTCATTCACTAGAGAATTTTCACAGACTTGCACTTTACTTTCAGATCGTCTCTCCTTCTACAACTCCCCTCTGTGTTTTCTGTCCCTCTGTCAGAGTCCATATGGAACGCAGCGTCTTTCTACCAGGAGTCGTCGTACCTCTACTTCCCCACCCTGCAGGCGGAGCTCTCCTCTGATATCTCCTTTTACTTCAAGACCAGCGCTCCTTCAGGAGTGTTTCTCGAGAACCTGGGCCTCAAAGACTTCATCAGAGTGGAGCTCAGCTGTGAGTCGGCGCAACAGAAGTGCACCATCGCACAAAGTACATGACAAGGGCACGCACGCAGACAGGAAAAGAGTAACCGTACATAACAACAGCCACAAAAGCTGTCAGTGATATTTCTTTGCCTCTCTCACATTGAAATACTCGCCGTACTGTAGTTGACAGTTTAATTTCCCCGAGAAGCCGACTGTCAGGTCCGCCCAGCATGATGTAATCCTAATGACACAGTCAACAGCAATGTCATGCTGCCGAAGGAGACGTTAAAAGCATTTCCTTGCTCCACATTTAGCGGAGCTGAAATCCATAATGATTACAGCAGATGACATAATAGAAATGTGCTGTGGATTTACTGTAACAATAAAATAAAAGGCTGCGGATATTTTTAGATTTTTTTTTGAAAAATAGCTCGTTTACACGTGAACCAATTAAGAATCGTAGTCTGTGGGATTTTCGGATTGTCTGGACTCCCACCAAACGGCATATTTAATAAGCACGTGAGTACATTTGCACTGACGGCAGAGGTAGCTCCGGCAGCGCCGCTTTAGTTTATTTATTGCGGTCGTTAAAAAGATGTGAAGTTGTTGATTACCGTGCGTTTTGTTCACAAACCTCGGGGAGGAGTTCTCAGGATATTTGTAGCCGTTATGTATTACTGCAGCATCAGAGGCACTGTGAAATATTGACAAGCTGTCAGCTGAGCCCCCTCATAAATCTATTCAGGTCATCAAGTTTTCCCAGCAGCATTGTATCACATTGCATCAGAAAGGGAGGACAGAGGAGACCATGAAAAAACCCAGTATCACATTCGTGTGTGTGTGTGTGTGTGCAGCTCCCTCGGTGGTGACGTTCTCTTTTGATGTGGGAAATGGTCCGGCGCTCCTCTCCGTGAAGTCCCACCTGCCCCTGAATGACAGACAGTGGCACTACGTGAGGGCAGAGCGCAACGTGCGGGAGGCCTCGCTGCAGGTCGACCAGCTCCCCCTCCGCTTCCTGGAGGCTCCGGCTGACGGGCACCTGCGCTTGCGGCTCAGCAGCCAGCTCTTCATAGGTAGGCTCCGTCGTCCGGCTCCGTACACTGCGCCGCCGCACGGTGAGTCCGGGGGAGGGGGATTTGCTGTTTCCTTGTTAGCAAAATCACCAGAGTGCGTCCTCGCTTGTCAGGCTCCACCCCCTCTCAGGAGGCCCCGGGTTTCAAATCTACGTCTAATCTTGGGTTGGATCAGAAACGTCAGAGTTAAAGGGTTCCGCAAAACTTCTCTCTCTGAGGTGTTCATGTGTCGCTCTCTCAGGGGCCGGTCCGCTGTGTAAAGAACAAACGTACTTCGACTCCGGGTCCGGAGGGCGAAGCCAACACGGAAGGGCCTTAAACCTGCCTTCTTTCCGACGACCAGCAGGGGGTGACTGTCGACAAACCAACGGGTGACGTCTCGATGGGTTATTTCAGTTTACGCTAACTCACGCAGGAGCAACGTGACTCTGAAGCTGAAAAATTTGATTAATGAGACAATTTGAGCCAAAACAATGAGCTGAAAGTTTCATCACCTGGACTCTGTTCACATCCCAGAATCCTTTGTGTTGAAATGTTAATCTCATATTATCTTTTTATAACATGTTAATATTGATTGATTCAGCTTTATAGAAAAGTTTCCGATTGTCCTGAAGCGAGTCTTAATACAACACTCTCACGTCGTGAGTGCTTTAATTTTGAAGAAGTGATAGAAATGAAAAGTGAGTGGAGCTATTTTTGGGAGCAGCTGCTAATGGAAGTGAAAGTCCTGCTCGTTTTCCCGCAGACAGAAGTTACGTGACTTATAGTTCGAACACGTCAACCGTTGGGTCGGCCTCGTTCCTCAGTTTAACGATTAACAACTTCTGTTTCTCAAAAGATGAAAAAACTTCTGGTAAAGCAGGTAAACGCAGCGAGGAAGATAAATCCATTGAGAAGACTGACAACACAGTTAGTTAAATAGTCGCTAAGGATCATGGGTAAAACTGGCGGTCTTCAAGTTTCTCCACTGTAACACACTCAGACTGCAGCTCGGATAGATAGATGAGTGAAAAATTCAAAGTAGAAAGTACAATAGAAACAAATACCACATAAAGTATTAAAGTATAAATGAGGGCAGTTAAATATAATCTCGTTATTAAAAATGATTGAGTCCAGCTAAAGGCTTCATCTCTCTTTTTCTTTTCTGTTTCACACCAGGACAAATAAAACCATTCGAGTCGTCCAATTAAGAAAAAAAAGATACTGACGTCTCATAATAACGTCGCGTTCGTCCCCCGTCCCCTATAATGTAGTCGGACTACGAAAGTGTCCCCTCAGAGCCCGTGTGGAAATAATTACGGCGAACAATAACTCTTTAAATGTCCTGTGATTATTGCATTAATATAGATTTACAAAGCGATCCTATAGGCTGCTATGAAGAACTCATTTATTTTATTGTTTTTCATTATTACTCCGGTCGAGGAGCGAGGCTGTTCTCTTTCTCGTGTCACATTTCTCCGGTAGCCTTTTCCCCCTCTGACATTTTAATGCGTCTCCTTAATAATACACCAACCCTCTGGAAGTGACACAGAAGACACAAAAAATAGTTCCCTCTCTATTTTAGTCCTGAGCTCATGCACTTAACGGATCATTTGGTTTAAGGAATAATTCATCAGAGGAATTAAATGACAACTAAAAGCAACAATCCTCTGTGGAGCTCAGAAAAACATGTCATCTGCTGGAGATTAAATGGGATAAAGGTGTTATTTTATTAAAAGGGCTTTTTTATTTGGACCCTGGAAGAAAACAAAGATGAACATGTGATTATGTTTTTCAAAGGCCCGGTCTGCTGTTTGAGAACCGATTGCTAGTTTGGATATTTGCTCGTTTTAATGGAATAAGAAGTTGGAATATAACAAAAGAGATCAAATTTAAACCATCAAATTTAGATGCAAATGTGGTTTCAGGCGCAGAGTCGGGACTTTTTATTCTCCCAACAGGATTCAACTCAATAGATCTCTTGAATGTATTTGTTTTCGTAGCATTTCTAGTTTCAGATTTCGTTTTGCCACGGAGTACTGCGCGTGTGACATAGTTAAAGAGTAAAAATATTTGTTGCACGTTCACTGTTTGTTTTTTTGACATTTTCCCCAGTTTCTTAGTGAATAATTCATGGATCATAATGGGACAAATCAGTCACATTTAGGGGACTGATATCTTCGAGTGCAATTTGGTGCAGCTTGATTGGACATGAGGAGACTGTTGGTGGAGGTGTGCGCTCTGCTGAGTGCCTATTACTGCAGAACTCTATTAAACGCAGCATTTCTGTACGTGACATCGCAGGCTACGTCCATTACTTCCTTTAGATTCTCCCTCTTGATTTCGGTGTCGTTTCCCTGTAATTACTCTAAAAGGCGTCTGGAACGTCTGAGGCTCGTCCCCCTTCGGTCTTTCCGGTTTCCAGTTTCCAATTTTTATAGCGTTTGTCGGCTAAAACAAGAGAAACGGCGTCTCCCCAGCGTTAATAACCCAAGTCCACGCTGCACAAAGCCAGCGCTCACAGGAAGCAGGGGTTAATAGCATGAAAGACACCAACGCACCATATAATACAGAGTAACAGTACACATGGTGTCCTGCCTTCTCCCAATAGACCGGCCTCTCCTGATTTATATTTAATACATATAACATGTGTGTATAGAGTGAAAAAAAAAAGCGTGCGGATATGAAACAGTGCCTCAGGGAATCATGGGAGGTGAGTGTCTCGAACGTGTTGCAGCTCCTCACACCTCTGTGAAACACGCTGCGCACAAGCTGTCGCCAACATCACACTGTGTTTTCTGGATGTTTTGAATCGTGGTTCACCACAGGAACACATGCATTGATCCGTTTATTGATTTATTATGTTTATCTGTTCCTGTGTTAGCTCCTCAGGTTGTTGGGCCCGTTGATAAACTTATGAAAGTGTGTATGTATCGGCCGGTTGGCGTTATTTAGTGTGATGCTGTGTCGAGGATTCGTCTGTCAGCCTCCGGGCATCGTGGGTGGAGACTTTTCCCATCTGTAATTTCCTGTTGCCAAAGTCCCAAACATTTGTTTTCTATGTGCATCTCACAGTGAAGTCTCATCCATTACGTTGTATATTTAGTCATAATGAGGTTTCATATGCTTAAGTGCCCACAGGGTCGCACAAGATGCACGCTGGAATTAAGTAAATGCTTGTCGTAAATCCTCGTCAACCCTAAAGGGAGCCGTGATTATAAGGACATTACAGATGCTTCTCAGCACAGCCAGCGGACATCAGATGTGATGTAACGCCCAGTGTCTCCCCAGGGGGAACGGCGTCCCTGCAGAGAGGCTTCCTGGGCTGCATCAGGACGCTGACGGTCAACGGCGTGAGCTTCGACCTGGAGGAGAGGGCCAGGATGACGCCCGGGGTGAGCTCCGGCTGTCCCGGCTACTGCAGCGGCTCCAGCAGCCTGTGCCACAACAGAGGCAGGTGCGTCGAGAAGAGCAACGGCTACATCTGCGACTGCTCGCTGTCCGCCTACGGGGGAACCACCTGCAACCAAGGTGAGTCCCGCCCTCCACCGGTTTGAATCGAACAGAAGCAGCACGAGTCGTGTAATTCTTTTAATAGACGAATTTTGATTACAACGAAACAAAGAATCGATCAACGCCGAGGCTATTCCATTAGAGTGCTCCTATAAAAGCGCGAGTTGTGCAAGAGACAATTAATACTTGTCCTGACGCCACATTTAAAATGCATTAGACCAAATGATCCGCTGCAGCGTGCGAGCACAGGCCGGAGCCGATCAGACACCGAAGCAAATACGAGAGCAGTTGTCCGAGCGAGCAGCCGCGTGGATTCTGGTGGAGAGGAAGAGTCTGGAGTCACACTCGGGTGGAGGGAGGAGGCCACGCTGTTTACTTCTGCTCCGCTGGTTTAGTCTGAACGAGGCAGGATGCAGCTCATCTGATTCATCTCTGGATCTTATCACAGTTGGACGAGTCGCCACCGGGTTTTAGGTTCGAGACCCGAGCTCGACCGATACAGATATTTGAGGCGAACGCAGATGCCGATATTAAAGAGTAAATATATATATATATATATATATATATATAAGAAAATGACAATGATTCCTAAGATGTTGTTGTGTTTACGACTGAAACATGGACGACCTGACAGATTCCCAAAAGTGAGAACCACCTTGATCGCCCCCTGGTGGCTCGCAGCAGTTTAGCACCTTCTCCCTGTTAGAAGATGAACCAGGAACTACACGTTGAACAAAAAGTCAAAGTAAACGTTAAAAATGTTTTTTGTCATTTCACATTAAATTGTTGTCACTTTGTTCAAGTGTTTTCTAACAAACAGAAGCGAGAACCACAAACTTCATCATGAATAAATAACAAATATATATATATATATATATTTATATATCAGAAAATACCTCAGAACACTGGACGAGTTCTCTTCGTTATTTATTCTGCAGAATTTATGTTTTCACATCAGCAAACACAGGAAGTGATCGTGTGTGAGGTCACACTCTCTCTCTCTCTCTCTCGTCCCTCACGATCTTCAGAGCACTGTGTTCCTGAAGTTTTGACTTGTCGTTGAAAACGTTAAAGACAACAAACAATGAATGCTGCATCGTTTTCCCGCCGTGTGTTTCAGCATGTCCAAGTGTGAGTCTTAGTTCGTTCCCTCGCGTTGTGTCACGTCCGTCCACCGAAACCAAATCGAGGCCATTCTACTTTTTTTTTTCTCCTCTTTTATTAATTTAGCGTGTGAGCCAGACGCTTGTGTTCAAACAAGCCGTCCAGCTGCGATACACGGCCGAGCGGAAGTAGCCTGGAGATTATCTGCTTCAGTGGATTCACCTTCAGCTGAGAGCTTGTGAATGTGCCGCTGCTGCAGACGTGTGAAGAGAGACGCTGGTGTCATGGCGTCTTGGCGCGGAGGCAACCGTCCCCTCCACCGTCCATTAACCCCAGGAAATACAAATTTAATTTGAAAGTTAAGAAGACAGCGTTTTCACACATCAAACCCAGAGCAGAGGGTTGCCTGTGAAGGGACTTTGAACTCTCAGCATCTGTCGAGGTAACAGAGGTGTTGAAGCTTCCACTTGTGAATCAGCGAGTTTCGTGTCGTCGTCTCCTCGGAGCAGCTTCTCCTCACCAGCTGCTTTTAAACTTAGAAGTTTCAAGGCAGCTTACTGCGCTGGATTTGCACGGATCTGCCAACTACAAAAACTTTCATCGTAAAAAAGTTTCTTTTATGAAGAATTGTAGTTTAACCTTTAACCTGCCTGTGACTGTGAACCTCTGACACTTTCACTTCCTGTGGCAAATACCAGAGTAACTAACCCTCCCCTGGTGCTGATAGTATTTTTTTTAAATAAATACACCGCAGCAAGTTTCCTGTATTTGTACCTGCTTGGCAATAAACCTCGATTCTGATAAAACCATAAAGTTTAAAACTCCCACCAACTGGAATAAACTGCCCTCATTAATTATTTTCATTACTTTAAGTCATATTTATTCATTTATCTTCAAACAACCTGTTAATAACCCGATACCTATATCTTGACCCATCTATTCCTACAGGTGTATTTTCATGTAAACAGCTTAACATGTGTTTATTTCATATTTATTAGACATAACTTGTCATAGTTGAGGCTTCAGTTTGAATCTGAGTAAGTTCCTGTCATTCGTTTTGTGTTTTCTGTTTAATGGAACCTTCAGAAAACTTGATCTCAAGATGATTATTCTCGGAATTAACATTTATTTATTGATATGTAGACGTGAAATTCGTCGCTCGCTATAAAGAGTTGAAGACACATTGAAGATAATTGAATATAACTCATTTATTTGATGCTTCACTAGTCTTATTGACCGCTTTTAAGCACAAGGCACGTTCACCCATTAACATGCACGGGGGCAATTTATGGTTCGGTGTCCTGCAGAGTGATGGAGCCTGGGATTGAACCGCTGGCCATCTGGTGAGTGGACACCCCGCTTTACCTCCTCGCCCGCAGCCAGAATGACTTAACCAAACCGTTTCGGGACGTCACATCAACCTCGAGGAGAGATGCTCTCTGTCGCTGGTTTATTTCTCAGGAGGTGAATTTTCAGTCTCTGAAGAGTTTCATGGGTTTGGCCACATTCCAATAAAGCCAGTGGTTGTGTTTAATGCTAATGTTAGAAATATTCATTAATTCATTTTAAATGAACCCACAGACTTCACGTTATCTCTCTCCCCACGAGGCAGACTACATGTTCGACCCCTTCAGTGATAAGGTTTGTGCAGATTGTTCAGTTTACCCATCCATATATTTTCTGCCACTTACCCGGGGTCGGGTCGCGCTGGCGTTCCAGACGTCCGTCTCCCTGGAAACGCTCCCCCCGGGCTCCTGAGGCGTTTACAGACCAGATGGGATGTACGATCCCTCCAGCGAGTTCTGGGTGTAACCCGGGGTCTCCTCCCAGTTGGAGGCGGCGTGGAAAACCTCCAAAGGAAGTAGCCCGGGAGGCAACGTAATCAGATGCCCAAACAACCTTCCGACGTGGAGGAGCTCCCCCCGGATGTAAGAGCTCCTCATCATCATATCTCAGCCCAGATACCCTTCGGAGGAAACTAATTTTGGCTGCGTACATCTGCGATCTCTTGGTCACGGCCCACGGCTCATGACCATCGCTGTTTCATCTAATACCTTCATATTAGGAGGCGTAATGGAAATTGGATCTTCTGTGGACTGTGAGCTCGGCTTTATCTTTTAATCTGGTTTCAAAAACAGTCGCTTCCTGCACTGAAACCGTTGTTCCCCCTCTCTTGTGTTCCTGTGTGTGTGTGTGTGTGCGCAGAGGTGTCGGTGTCCTTTGACAGAGAGTCCTCCGTGACCTACACCTTCCAGGAGCCGTTCTCGGTGATGCAGAACCGGAGCTCGCAGGCCACCAGCGTTTCCACGGAGAGCAGCAGCCGGGCCAGAGAGGACGTGGCCTTCAGCTTCGTCACGTCCCAGAGGCCGGCCATGCTGCTGACCGTCAGCACCTTCAGTCATCAGTACATCGCTGTCATCCTGGCAAAAAACGGTACATGAAGACTTTATGTTTATCGGATGAAATCCCGCCGCACACTCATGTTTAATGGTAAATATATTGACCAACGCGTAGATTTCTAGACTTAACTGAGCAGCTGCACTGTCGGCAAACACTTCCTCCGCCTGGTCGCACACGAGGCAGCGAGACACTTCCACCGTGATGCGGTTGTTTTAAACATTTATATTCACTTTTCATACGAACGCATCCGTTATGCAACCACAGGCCTTTGAAGCCATTTGAGACTCGCTCAGATAAAATGCCACATCATTACACAGTGGCAGTTATTGGGAAGGAAAACAAAGCGTTTGACATATGAAGCTCCCTGTGATGCCCTCAGGTCTCCAGCCCCCCCCCCCCCCGTCCAAATGACAGCCCTGTGATTCTAAATGATTTATTTACTTTATTATAAAGGTTCGGATCGGGGGGGGGGGCAGCGGTGGAACGAGCTCGGCAGCTAAATCCAGAATTTAGTGACAACGCTTTTGATTTGAAATCAATTTGTTATTTGGATTCTTTGTTTTTTTTGTAAGTGGAATCAACTCAAAGTTTTCACGTTTGATTCGATCTTTGAATATTCTTGCTCGATGAATTAACTTAATCGGGAGCGACTTGCACTTATTTGCATTCTCTCACTCAGCTTCTGCAGCTTTAAAGAGACAAACCACCATCCGCACCCACATTCACACCTTCTGATTATTTATTTAGTTATTTAGAGACTCCGGTTATACAAACCCAATCTGCGTGTCTTTGGATTGTGGGAGGAGGTAGCCAGAGAAAACTCACGCAGTCACGAAGAGATTCAAACTCTCTCACGCGGAAAGACTTCAAACCAGGAAGGTTCGTGTCTTGTTTTTTTTTCACATTGGTCAAACTGATTTACTAAAACCATCAACCGAGACATAAACATAATATTTAATAAAGAAAACATTTAAATCTTCTGGTGAGAAAGTGCGGCTCAGAGCGTTAACGTCAGACAGGTGGAAGCTGTCCCTGCTCTCTCAGGCTGACAGGGTTACCAAATAATCTCACATTATTACAGAGGAGATTGCTTCCTTGACAGCGGGTTGGCCCACTTTAAAACGAGACCCACCAGAGTTCAATCGAAAGCGGGGAGAGAGATGATCCTGTTTAGGCGGAAAAATGGAATCCACTTAAATTAGAAGGATCTAATCAAAAACCCTCTGCACCGCGGCTCCCACACTAGTTCTGTTCTTTTCCCCGACCCTCAGCAGGTTGTTATGACGTGTGCAGATGTGCCGATAAAACCGAAATGATATTCAGCAGCCTCGGGGATCTGATCTCTATATGTGTTCTTACATTTTTAGAGTTTATTTGCATGTTATAGTGCTGACAGCTGAGGATCAGAGCAGAGAATCACAGAGACTGTTTGTATTACTGGTGCCACAGCCAGAATTATTGTATCACCGCAGCCGCCCCCACAACTCTGCAAAGTGATAATAGGCGAGGGAACGAAGTGAACCTCCGCAGCTCTGTTCCTGTGCAGCTTTGAAAAGACGACGTAGAATAGAAAAGAAAAGAATAGAACTCATTTATTTGTCATAGCTAAGCCTGAAAATGAAGTGTCTCTGTAATGCACACACACACACTCATGCAGAACACCAATTTATATAAATATGAAAAATAGTAGATACACTGGTGCATACATTAATATCATACAAACACAATTATAAACTAGAATACAGCGTGCACACTAAGACTCAACACTTCACTAGATCAGCTTTTTTATTTGGATCTGCACAAAACTCATGAATATCTTCTTTTTTTTTAAATCTTGCTCATCAACAAATTAACAAACAAAAGCAGTTGCATCATTGTCTGTCTTACACCGCAATACTTTTCAAAGTAAAATATTTTAAAGTTTGTTTATGAAAAACCGTTCACCGCGACAAATCAAACCAAAACACAGCAAATTAAAACCGAGGAGCGTTGATTGAAACCTGCAGGAATCAGAAGTTAAAATTAATTAAGGAAAATAATAATCACAAACATTATTTAATGAAAACTGATTTTCAAACTTGCCGTGAGAGGATAATGATTTTAGGAAGTTCAGGATGTGTTGCAGCCTGAAAACAAAACGGAAGATTTATTCACAAACATAATTTAATTAAACAGGAAACCCCCCCCCCCAAAAAAAGTCCCAATTATATTTGAACAAAATCGTTAAGTCTGGAGAAGTTTTCAGAAAAGGTCGTCACATGTCAAACTCCCGCTTCCGTTCGTTTCCTGCTATCGACCCGAGAAAAGCCTCAAAGGTCGACGCCGAGAGCCTTTAAGCCGTTTCCAAACTTCAGCTCTTCATGCCGGGTGACACCTGTGTGCGGTTGTTAGTCAGAGTCCGCGTCCTAATGCACTCTGCCGTGTTAAATCCGAACGCCCACGTCGTTCCCCGGCTCCGTGCAAACACTGAAGGGGACACATCATCCAGCCGGGCCGTCGTCTGTGGGAGAGCTTGCTGGATTTGAAATGAATCACAACACAAAGCCCTTCACCTACAGACGAGGAATTGTAATATTGACCCAGCTCCTCTCGAAAATACTTCGCCCGCTGACTCTCGGATCTGCCGGCAAATGTGCGTGCGTGTGTGTTTGTGTGTGTGTGTGTGTGTGTGTGTGTGTGTGTGGGAGGAACAGTGAACACATATTGACTTATTCAGTGTGGGAGTGAAGAGCTATGAGATAAATATTTGTATTTCTCAGAAGGCACTTGAAGAAGTTTAGAAATAGCAAAGCATCTATTTACAGTTGCAGGCGGCCTGAATCGTTTCAGTACATTTTTACTTCACCTGTTTGTAAAATATTTTCCACACGCAGAGTAGAATATGTGTCTCGTTCACTCGACAGTGGTGAATTTCCTGCTTTCCTGTTTCCAGGGAGTCTGCAGATCTGGTATCACCTTCAGACGGACCGGAGTCCGGACGTGTTCAGCCCCGTGCTCACTAACCTGGCAGACGGACGACTCCATCGAATCCGGATCCACCGAGTGGGAAAAAACCTCTACATTCAGGTGGGGACAGGACACCGTGGAGTTTTAGTCTGTCCCTCGTCGGCCAACGTTCTGTCACCGCGGGACACAGTTCTCACCTCAGGAGACAAAGCAAATCAGAAAGTATTTGTCTGTCTGTTAACTTTAACTAGTTTGTTTTTTTTAGCCTTTCGAACAATCTGCGATATAATACGATATTAAGAACCCTGTCTCCTCCATGTTATCACATGGGACAAAAATTCATGGTGCATTTAAATCAAACAGCTGCGCTGACTCTGGCTCCAGCGACGTCACAAGATGGCAGATATATGTTGCTTTATTACAGCGGTGAGAAAAACGTGGAGGTCACAGGAAATGACCCTCTGATACCCGCTGAGTGGAACAAAGATGATTAAACACCAGAGAACGACACAAGCCGCCGCAGAGTCAAGTTTACCACGAGGATTAAAAAAAAAAAACATGGTGGACAGGAAGCTGCTCGTCGTCCGGCGCGCGGGGAGAAATGTGCAGTTCAAACAGTGCAGCGTGAAATAAAGATAGAGAGGTGTGTTTGCTCTCAGCGGTGGTCCTCCGAGTTCACTGTCCGTTTCATAGCAGAGGTTAGAGTCAACATTTTTACTATTTATAGAATAACTCAGCACCGGGATGAGAAAGCCGCTCGCTGCGCCTCAGGGTGAGAGTCTCACGTCTGTTTCCACCTTTGACCGAACGCAGCGGTGATGTAACGGCACACTGATGCACCCTGAAGTGCATTTTTACTTTCACTGCAGCGCCGTTACACTTTGAAACAACTGAAGGGCAGAAAGAGATTTTTAAGGTTTTTTTATTAAGCTGCTGGTTTAACCACTTTTTTTTTTTTTACCTCAGATCTTTACCGAGTGGTTTAACGTTAACGTTGCATCCCAGAGCACTTTACTCTCATTTGAGCTTTTATAGAATTGATTTTAAGATTTTGACTGTTTCTCTCAAGGTTTAAAAACTCTACTGAACAAAGTTTTTCTCCATCCTCGGATCTTGCTCACTTGCTTTTCCCGTCGATAAAGTTGTTCGAATACAGATATTGTTTTTTTTTTTTTTT